ACAAAAACCCACCTACCTCGCCACACCCGCCATTTCTTCAAACAATTGTTGCTGTGATCAACAGGTGTAAAACCGATTCAAGAACAAGGCCAACCCAGTTTTTGTGTGTGTGTGTGTGTGTGTTTTCCTTTCCTTTTCATCTTTTGTGACTTTTCTTGTTTAGAGTTCGCGGGAAAATATGTAAATTGATGAGCATTAGAGGATATTCATTTATGTGTTTGGAGAAATTTTGTTGTTCTTCCTAATTCTCTGGGAAATCAGAATTAATTTCTTAGTAGCTTATCAGTGCATAAAGCTGTTTATCGCTTCACGTATATTTCTCTTCTGACTCCTCCAAATATGGATTAATTTAGCTGGTCTCCATTGATACTCAATCAGATTTAGGGCAGCTGCTGATAATTCTCTATTTTCCAAGTCATTTCGTTATCATTCTCTAAACAGTAACTACAGTGCCGTTCTGCTGCTGAAAACTGTCTGATTATGATGATAAATTCATTCACTTTATTACAAAGCAAATTATTGTAAGGGATTTTCTCTTGTAGTGGTAGCTTCTCTAAGATTTAGGGCCTCATATCATGAGCTGCGCCGCTCAAATAACCACCCGTCAATCACCCTTATTCGAATGATAAAAGAGTTTAAATGAATATACTTGTGCATGAACTGGTGCGATCATATCCATACTAATGCATATATCCTATCAGAACTCAAAAGTTAAACGTGTTCAGACAAGAGAAGTATTGAAATGGCTGACCTCCTGCGATTTTATTTTTTTTTCCTCATGGGAAATACTCGTCTTGGACCCCTCACTCAATAAAGAAAAAAAAAGTACATAGCCTTAGAATTGTAATCAGAGTGTTAATTCTCTACTATACTATTTTGTGGGTTCATAGCCAACAACAGTTTGAGCATGATTTAAAAACAGAGCATCTAGCTAGGCATATGCATATATACCTTCTTTTTTCATGCTTTTCTGCTGTAATTTCAGCCATATATATGCATATCTTATATCAACGAAGATAATAAAAAGTTGTTTTTTTGACTTTGCTTAGTGGATGCGGCGGCCTGGATATGCAAAGAAGCCATGATGGCTTTAGTTGAATATATAGCATTGGAGAAAAAGAAAAAAAAGGAAGGAATTGAGTACTGTTAATAATGGGATACAAATGTTTGATTAAAATTAACTGTAGAAATGGGATATATACTAAGGATATTCCAGGTCATATCTGTCTCAAAACATAAACACTACAGTTGAAGCCAGCAGCTACTCCTAGCTTTTGCCTTTTGCAGAAAATTAATGTACAAGACACTAAGAATGAACCAAGTTCATTAGTGAACTTGCATGAAAAAGATCGCCATTACATCAGTTTCAATAGTGTTTTTATATATAATTTAATGTTTAATCTGGGAAAGAAAAAAGGTGATTAATGTGATCTTTCCAGAAGGTGGATGAGTCATTTCTGCAATAGTTTTTTCTTGTGAAATCTGGAGATGGGATTCTCCTTATAAATAAATAAATAAATAAATAGACCTTTCGTTGCCCAGAACCAGAAGAGGTGTAGCAAAAGTTTTAAATGTCAAGAATGGGATTCGAACCCATGCCCTTTCGGACCAGTACCTGAAACTGGCGCCTTAGACCAACTCGGCCATCTTGACAAATTGTGTACGCTATGGCTTTAGAATTTACACAATAAAAAACAGTTGGGTGAGACAGAAAGACTTAATAGCTTTTGATCTAATCGGTCAATGTTATAGCCTTTCAAACAGTAAGAAATACCTTTCTCGAATTAACAGTCACTAATCAAATCTTAACTATGTAACAATATTTTCTCCATAGGGACAAGTGAGTTATCCGTTTTTCTCTTACATATATGAATTAAATATTTGTTATGTCCTTACACGGGTTAACATTTAATAGAAATTTAGAATCAAGAGAATTTATCCTAATAGATTAAACAATAAAATCTGGTTAATACTATACCCAAACCTAGGGGGTAACTGCAAGTATCGCATTTCATATTTCGCGGTCTTTCAAGGGTTTAGAATAATAATCCCTCCCACTTTTGACTTGATTGCAAAAGCAATGAAGTTATTATAATTTAAGTGCAGAAAATATGATTAGAAAACAGAAGATATGATGATCTTGATGAATATCTACAAATCACACAAATCAAATGGAATCAAAGTTGAAAGGTTGGCATTCATAAATCATAAACTAATAATATTAGTGTCAATAGGAATAACTTCAACATGGTTACATGTCTCATTGATTTTTAATCACATTTCACTTGGGAAATCGAAATTTGATATTTTTATGTATATAAAATTGTGAAATTAAAACAAAATACTCAATAAATAAGGATAAATGATATGAAATGAAAGAACGATTTTGTATTAATTCACATAAGAAATGGTGAGTGAATCGATTGAAAAATACAAAAATCAGTCAACCAAAACAACGACATGTTGTTGGCGATTGGCGGACCGAACGGGGCAGAGGTGAGATGGATTTTGGTCAAGAGGCTAGTGAGAATGTTTTCGCGGTGATGGGGAGTGTTGTCATCACTAGAAACAAACCGTATTTTGCTTGGGTTGTCGACGCCTACGATGGGGTTTGGGGTGTTTTTGCAAGATTTCAAATCTATAGAGACTTATAGTAATTTTTAAGGGTATTTTTGTTGTATTTCAAACCTTTAGACACTAGTTTGACCTGTCGGTCAAACCAGTTCAACCGATCAACCAAAGAGCCGACCACTTTACTGGGTTTCACCTCGAACTGGTTATTAAAACTAGTGTGTTCAAAATTGGTTAACCAATTTTGTGAACTGAATCGGTTTTTAGGTTCAGGAATTTTCTTGAATTGAAACTGAACTGATTTTTCGGTTAACCAAAAAAACCGGTTTTAATTTAATATTTTATATATTTTATAATTTAATATTTTTATAATAAACCGGTTAGTAAAACCAATTTCAGTTAACTAGTTTCCGTATTCTCCCAAACTGGTAACCAAACCGAAAATTTTGATTTTTATTTTCTTTGAATAGAAACCAAACCGATTTTTCGGATAACTAAAAATTCGGTTCGGTTTCTGCCTTTTTTTTTTTTTTTTTTTTTTAAACGCCTCTAATTAAAACATTGCTTTAATTACTCTAATATAATAACCAAGTGAGATGAGTCACCAACTTTGGGGCGGTGGACTTAACAACCCAACCAGTAGGCCCAATGTACAAAGACTTTCTTTTCTCTTGTCCATTACTATATTCAAAGTAGGGACTAACCCCTGGCCCAAATGAAATTCATTTTCAAAAGTTATACCCACTTTTACTTCAAATTTACTATAATTCTACGAGCCCTGTTTCTGATTGATACTATTTTGCATTGTTTACAATCATTTTGACATAATCCCTTTTCATTCATCATCTTAAATGCATATCAACCTTCTTCCTGGAAGTCGGCAGATGATACAAAATTTACATCTTTCAATGCAAAAAACAAGTGCTTTAAATAAAGTTTCCAAATAACAAAACAATCTTCAACGAAAAGTTCAATCAATCATATCCGTAGTATGTACAACCAAAAAAAAACTATGAGATGTGTTTATATTACGCGTATTACCTGACAACTCATGATTGATTTTGTCGACGAGAAGGTAAGTCAAGATGCAATCTTTCGAAGATGTAAAAGGAAATCCAAAAAAAGGGATTGAAGTTATAACTTCGTGAGAAGAGATTTTAAGTGGGGAACAACCGGAATCTGCATTAGATTATAAGAGGCAGTAAAGCCTCAGACAACCTATTCTCTTCTTTTTATTATTTTAATTTACTTGTAGTCAAAAAGTAGTAATTAAATCAGTGGAGTGAAAAAAATTTATGGAAATGGGGCCGAGAAAATATAATATTTTCTATACTAAACATGAAAAATGTGAATTCTCCATATGGGAAAAGAAGGAGAAAAGAAACCACTACATAAAACTGCCAGCCAGCTGCCTATTCTCATTCATTTACTTTTTGCTGGTTTTGTTGCTGTTCATGTGATTCTCCAAAATAATTATTAAGTGTTACTTTTTTAATATATATATGTTGAGATTAACCGAAAGAAAAATGAATTAAAAAAAATATTTAAACCGGTTGACACTTTTTTTTTTTTAGCTTGGTTTTAAAATCAATTATCTGATATTATTGTTCATACTAAAATAAGAATGAATGTAAAAATTTACGACTTTTGATAATAGTGATAAAAAATTGTATATATGCTGAGATTAACCAAAAGGAAAATGAATAAAAAAAATACTTAAACGAGTTGATAATGTTTTTAACGTGGTTTCAGAATCAACTATCTGATATCGTTGTTTAGACTAAGACAAGAATGAATGTCAAAGTTTACGACTTTTGATAGTGACAAAAAATTGAATAATTGCATTTGTGTTTTCTTTATAACATTTTTCCCCCATTTTAAGTTTTTAACCATTTGTGTGATTTTTCTATTCTTATTAATCCCAGTGACAAGAAGACAGTAGACAACTTTCTTGGGGAGAAAGAGGAGAAGACAACAAATAATGACAGAACAAAGTATATGAAGATATCTGGCAGGCTCATTTTAAAACATCCTGACCTGGAACTCCATCTCCCACTTGGCTAATTATGTGCACCTTTTTTAGTTAGTGTCCAAAAATGATTGTGCTGGTTTACCACCATGTTTGTGAAATGGGTTCATCTGTTTATCTGCAATCAGAGAGCTGGCTATAGCTTTCTGTTAGGATGGTTAGGTTATGTCCATTAGGTATGACAGAAGTAAAGGGGATCATTTTCAGATATTCATTTACTTTAGTTGAAGGAAAATATATTAGTTATACACAATAAGCTGTCTTTTTCCAGGGCCATTTTTTTATTAGGAAATTGATTGTCAATAGAGTAATGTAAAGAATGCAAAACTAAAGTTGATTCTAGTCATTTATAAATAGGGGTTTTATACAGTTTAACTTTGTTTTGTTATCTCACAAAATAGGTCTACCTACCTCCCTTCCTCTCCCTGCTCTTTCCAAGAAGAAAGATGCTCTCTCTTTCTGCTCTTCAATGATCTTTATCTATCAGAAATAAGGGTATAATTCTCTATTCTTCCATCAAAAATCTCTTACGTTTAGCTCAAGTAATGGATTCTTCCAAGAACCATTTCAGCACAGAAGGATGTAGCAGCAGTGAATCCGGGTGGACAATGTACATTGACTCCCCCATGCAAGAAGATGATGTTGACTGCAATAACGATGATGACGATGACGACCACCATTATCGCAATAGTAACAAATACACTAGCGTTAATGATGATCGAGAAGATAATAAGGAAGAGAGTGATGATTCAATGGCTTCTGATGCTTCTTCTGGTCCAAGTCATCATCAATATAAACGTGCAAATGGTGAAGGTCAAGGTATTCGCAGCAATATACCGAGTACTTCTAAACAAGGTAAGGTTGATCAGTTTAGAAAGTTTTTCTCATTCAAGAAATCAAATGAAAAAGAGAAAAAGAGTGGTGAAACCAGTACCAAATATAAACATAGAAATGATCCTCCCAAAAAGTACAAGTAGTACGAATTTTGATTTGTGCAACTCTGTAAAATTCTAAGCGTAGAGATGAGGCAAGTAGATGTAATTTCTCTTATATCTCTTTTTAAAGAATGGAATGATAAACATAAATTTCATATTGCATTTTTGTGATTTCAGAATCCCAATATGCATAGTTTCACACAGGAATTATCTGTCCTTGTGATCAATCATACCTTGGATTAATCTCTCAGTCTGCAATTCAATTTTTTTTTTTTTTTTTTTTTTTTAATCAAACTGATGTTAAGAAATAAAAAAGGAAAAATTTCTCCAGATCTTGGAAATTTGCTCAAGCCATTCAAGTAGCTAACATAGAAACCAGAAAGATAATAATCATATTCGTTTATCACAATGAGAATGCAATTGTGAGCATGTGTTGCCATGTGTTTGAGTGTGGTAAGCTATGAACCAGCAGTTTTTGATGGGCTGGAAAGAAGAATGATGAGCATTGAAAGACAAAATAAGTGGCGAATTCTGGTGGAGGTGGAGCGGGGGTTAAGGAAGAAAAATGATTGCAAAACATGTTACAAGAAAATAATCCAAAACAAAAAAACCATTGTTTTATAGATAAAGAAAACAAATTAAAACACTCCTTACTGAGAAAAAGAAAGAAGTGGATGAGGATATATAATTTTGTGCAAAAATGAATGAATGTACATGTATGTGTCAGCAAAGAATGAACAGAATGTATTGTGCTGGAAAGAAGAAAGATGAAGATAGAAAGACAAATGCCAACAAACACATAATGTGCATAACTATACACTAAAATTGGCTGCATGTACAACTCTCTGTTGTGCAAAGATGGGCGGTAAGAGCAAACAGCTAGACTCCTCATCAAAATATGGGCTGTACACTCAGCTCAAATAAAATATTATACCCAGATATACACATATGCTACAAATTCCCTGTAAGTCATATACAGAATATTCCGCTCATGCTAAAAACAAAAAGGCAAGAAGAAAAAAAGGGAGTTTGCATGTGTTATAGAAGACAGATAACAACAGAAATAAAAAAGAAATATCATAGCTTCATTAAGTTATCTTCTTCATGCTGATCTTTTGTAACTGATGTTTCATTAAAGCCCCCATAACATTAAAAGCAAACTGTAACAAGTAAAGCTGTTAAGTCATCAGAGTTATAATTACAATATTCATGGTGACCTTATTCTGCAGCTCTTAACTGCTTCCTAACCATGTACCAAATGTGTAAATATAAGATTAATGTTCATTATTTGGTAATGAAGATACAAAGGGACCACTTGGAAAAATGAGAACTACATTCAAGTCAATAAAGAAGATGAACTTACCAAGTTTTGTCAAACATTTATGCAAATTGCAATTTGTTTACATATTTTTTTGTCCATTGTCTATAAAAAATCCATGCTATACCCACCAGGAGATACTCCCACCATATGGTACTGCGAATATGACTTACAGTTGTCTGAAGAGGAAAAAAAAAAAAATTCTTAATTTCAAGTTTCATAACATAGGAATGATATTAGTAGAAGAGGAAAAGTATGTTTCTTTGAACCACCACTGCGAATATGACTTACAGTTGTCTGAAGAGGAAAAAAAAATAAAAAGAATTCTTAATTTCAAGTTTCATAACATAGGAATGATATTAGTAGAAGAGGGAAAGTATGTTTCTTTGAACCACACGGGGTGGTTGAGCAGTCAACAAGACTCTAGGTATAATTTCAAAAAGTCATAAGTTCGTTCACCTAGCTTACTAATAGGAGTGACCACTGAGAGAATTTACTCGACATCAACTCCAGGGTTTCGAAGAATTAGTTAAAGTGCGCGCAAACTAACTTGAACACCCCCATTTACCAAAAAAAAAAAAAAAAAAAAAAAAAAAAAGTATGTTTCTTTGATGTATGAATGAAGGTGCTAACTTTGGCTTCTGTCACCATGTGGAATATTGAAACCCGATGCACCATCAAAAAGAGTAATGTACACTACATCACTTTTTTACACCATTTTTATTACATCGTGATGTGACATATGTCACTACATAAATTTTAATTATTTTAAATTTTTATATATAAAAAATTTATGTGATTGTAACATATACCACATCATAATGTTATAAAATAGTGTAATGACAACATTATTCATGAAGACGTGGGAAAATGATGAAAATTTTTGTGAGCGTAATCTGATTGCGTATTTCAAGACGAGGCAACAATGAGACGTAGCAAATGCCATTCACAATATACAGAATGTGAAACACAAACAATTTCAAGCAGTAAATACTAGCCGAAGACTAATACCAAGCCATTAAAACACGATAACTTTTTTTTTTTTTTTGATAATTCAGTGATCAAATAATACATGTAAAGATATCATGCCTCACAGTGACAGAAAACATTTCGCCTTGTTGTCTAGAAGACATGAGCTAAAGATTAATCTGAATCTAAAGACAAAGTAAAAACATCAAATCTGCCAGAGTACAACAACAGCAAACAAAAGAGAAGTGCTTTCAAAGAAATTTGACCGGAACAAATAGATCATGCTAAAGTATACTTTCACCAAACAGTGGTGAAGCAAGCTCTGCCCAGCTATACACCAGAGTCCAGAGCAGAAATTATTTTATTATTGAAAAGAGTTCTGATTAAGCAGAAATTATCAGGGGAAGATTTAATTTTTCAAGTTTTTGGCAATCTTGAACCACTCTGTATGGAAGGAGCCCTCGATATCGGTCCTCTCATATGTATGAGCACCAAAATAGTCTCGTTGAGCTTGGACCAAATTAGCGGGCAATCGACCCCTTCTGTATGTGTCAAAATACGCAAGACTGGCAGACATACCCGGGGTGCTAAAACCAGAGTTGATAGCAAGGCATACAACTCTTCTCCAGGCGGACTGCCGATCAATGATTTCCTTTGCAAACTCTGGGTCCACAAGAAGGTTTGCTAGATCAGCGTTCCTATCATAAGCCTTCTTGATTCTGTCAAGGAACACAGCTCGGATAATGCAACCACCCTTCCATATCCTAGCTAGTTCTCCCAATTTCAAGTCCCATCCCTTTTCAATACTCTTTGCACGGATAAGATTCATCCCCTGTGCATAACTGCATATCTTGGATGCATAAAGAGCCTGCCTCACATCATCAATCAACTTCTTCTTGTCCACAGCTTGGTCAGAGAGAATATCACCAAAGCCACCTGATTTGAAGACTTTGGCAGCTTCAACTCTTTCCTCCTTTAACCCACTAAGAAACCTTCCATCCAAAGAAGCAGCAATTGTTGGAGCTGCAATTGATAAATCGGCAGCTTGCTGCACAGTCCACTTGCCAGTACCCTTCATACCAGTTTTGTCCAAAACCTTGTCAACCAAGTATCCATCTCCCTTGTCATCCTTTATTCCAAAAATATCTGCAGTAATTTCAATCAAGAAGCTGAGAAGTTCGCCTTTGTTCCATTCAGAGAAAACACCTTGCAGTTCCTCATTTGTCAACTTTCCAATCGATTTCAGTACGTCGTAAGCCTCAGCAATCAGCTGCATATCGCCATATTCAATTCCATTATGAACCATCTTGACAAAATTACCAGATCCACCTTTGCCAATGAAAGTCACACAAGGGCCACTATCAGGAACCTGAGCTGCAACCTTAAGAAGAATGTCTTCAATGTGCTTGTAAGCCTCAAAAGACCCTCCAGGCATCAAAGAGGGACCATTTCTTGCACCCTCTTCACCACCTGAAACTCCCATTCCAAGGTAAAGCAAACCCAATTCAGCCACGGCTTTCTCTCTCCTCTCAGTGTTCTCATACCATTCATTACCACCATCAATAATGCAATCACCTTTCTCCATGTATGCAGACAGGGTCTTTATGGTCTGGTCGACAGGTGCCCCAGCTTTAACCAGCATGATAATTACCCGTGGTTTTTGGATTGAATTAACAAAAGCTTCTGGATCATGGAAACCATATACGGGAAGATCTCCCTCCTTCTTAGCTCGTTCAACAGTCTCATCAACTTTGGACGTAGTTCGATTGTAAACAGAAATGGGAAAGCCTTTCTCAGCAATGTTGAGGGCCAGATTTTGGCCCATGACTGCCAGACCAGCAAGGCCTATTCTTGTAAGTTGTTTGGTCTGTGCCATATCTTCCCCTGTTCAACATTTGACATTATCAATGAGAGAAGTTCCAAAAAATTGGTACAGACACACAAGAGAAAGAAAAAAAATAAAAATCCCAGATCCTTAGAGAAAAACTTGATGGACTTCCTTTTTCTTTGTGTGTGATAAAAGTTGTCAACTATTATTACATAATGACATCATGAAAAAATGACATCTTTTTAATGAACTAGCACCAAGACTAAATTCCAAGTTATGCTAAATCTCAAGATTTGAAGTGGATTTGTATGGGAAAATATATACAAGATTTGATAACAAAACGATAGTGCAAATATATACCCTGAAATTGTCAAATGTTGAAACTATACCAAGAATAAAGACTATTACTTTGGGATTGAGATAAAAAATGAAATGACAAAACGATTATTCTCCAGAAAGAATCAAATTCTCTTCCTTAAAAAAAAAGACCTACCAATTGAAAAAAGAAGGAATAATCAAACTTCTAAACAAAAAACAGAGATTATTCAGAAAGATGCAAAAGGATCTCCAGCTGAAATTACACTTAAAACGATCATATCAGGAAAATATATAATTTTATTGGTGGAATATTCATAAGAAATAAGGATCTAGATACAAGTGCCAAAACTAAAGTGATGCTGAAAACAGATTCACCAACAAGATCAAAAGACAAGTGAAATATCTAATAAACAAAGAGCTAACACAGATCAGCAATTTTAAACGATAACCCAAAAACAATATATTACTTTCTTCAATCCCAGAAATCATAGAAAAACAATAGACCTGTATAGACTTGGACATAGAAGAACAACTTAAAAGAAGTTGAAAGATTTCAAACCTGAAACTCGTAAACTTGTTTAACGCAAATCGTTGAGAAATTTGATGAAACTAAGATCTGGGAAATGGAGAGGACAGAGTGTAGATATATAATGAATGATCAAATGACAATGTGAAAAACAAGAAAAAGAAGAAGAGCTAGAAATGGTATTATAATAAAAGAAAAAAATACCAACTTTTTTCAAGACGCCACCATACAAATACAATTCACAGAATCTCTCTCTTAAGCGGGTCAAATTTGGCTACTTCAATTATGGTTCGTTGTTGCCACCTCATCTGGGTTCTACGACGACACGCTGATGTGGCCAAACCACTTCACCTTCACCTTCTGTAACTGGGTTTTTTTTTTTTTTTTTTTTTTTTTTTTTTTTTTTTTTTTTTGGGTTAAAGACAGATACACCCTGGAGATATGATCAAATAACAAATATCCTATGAGGTTTCTCAAATAAAAAAAAAAAAATTCTGACGTAAATGAACTATTAGTGAAACATTAAAGTTTCCAATGTTATAATTTATAAATATTATCAAATTACCCGTATCGTTTATTTTAAGAGTTAACGACTTTTCCCACCTAATAATGGTTTAATAAAACTTTCTACATACAGATTTTTAAAATACTACTTTACTACTCAAATTTATATTCCGACGATAAATAGAGCAAAATTTGATCAGTCTATTGGAGCTTTTGAAGAGGGGAGCCGACGAGTCTTTGGAGCTTTTGAAGAGGGACGGGTCTTTGGTGGTGGAAGTTAGATTTTGTGATTAGATGAGATGAGATTGATAGAAATTTGACTTGAGAGAGACGGATGCGCAAACCCTAACCACTCAATTGCTGATTGACGGATCGACAGAGTAGAGTTTAGGGGTTTGTAGTGATACTAGAGAAGAGATAGTGGTGGTTTAGATGACAACGATGTGAAATCGAAATAAAATATAAATTTAATAGTAAAATGATTTTAAAATCTATAGTGTAAAAATATTATTAAACCATTATTTGGGTGGGAAAAAGGTTTACTCTTATTTTAACAACTAAAACTTAACACAAAGAAAATTTTGTTATTTTCCAATATAAAGGATTTTTTTAGTTTATCATTTCTAGAGATTAATGTCATTAACCCTTTTTTTTTATTAGATTTTTTCTTCTTCCTCAAAAGAAAGTTGGCGTTCATGGAAAGTATGAATTATGGGTTGATATTTGGTAATTCTACAATTTCGTTAATAATTCATGTTATATGGTTAGATTATAATTACATATTATATTAGATTATTCTACACCATGTTAATAAAATCTTTATTATTATATTTTTATAATGTAAAAAGAAATGGTTGATTTTGATTTGATTTTTTGGAAGATAGTTGATTAATTTTTTCCATTAGACTTTTGATGTAAGATTTTTCGTTTTTTTAATTCATTGATTCCTGGTCAAATTTATTCTATGATTTTTTTAGGCTGGTCTAGCTCTAGTTTGTAATGTCTCTCTTTGAATTGTGGAGCCATCAAAATTAATCTTTGACCTAACCCCATCTCAAGTTTGGAAGACTTTGCAATCCACATTTATTAAACAAAATTTAAATAAAAAAAAAAAAGAGGCTTTTATGCAATGATAAGAACTCAATTTTCTATATATTAAAAAAAAAAAAAAATGATGATATAAAGAAATGAGTGGCTAAATGGAAGTTTAGGTAGGAGGAGGATCCTTAATCGTTAGGTGAGCCAACATAACCTTTGCCTTTGGCATTTTCCCTTTCCCTTTCCCTTTCCCACCTAATCTTTCTTCCCTAATACAAATGGAAATACATGAATGAAGTTGTTCATCCTATAATTTGGAAAAAACCCTCTTGCCTAAAGCCTAAAATGTGAAAAGGGAAGTATTTTGAATCTCAAAACTAAAGTTTCTAATAGTAGACTGACTTCTTTACAATATTAGAAGTTCCATTTTCTGGTTCAGACTTCCCATTCAGATTATTGGCTTCTTCATCTTTGAACAAAGTTCAAACACTGTTCCATCTCCCTAGACATATTAGATTTCAGAATCCGTTCCTACAAGAACACTTGGTTGGAAGTATAACTCAGTGATCAAACTAAAGACCATGCCAATGCATAAAAAGGATATATGTTACCACCATATAATAAATGGATAAAGAGAATGCGAGATAGAAAATTTCCTTGTGCTAAGATTTTAAGGCACCATGTCAATGCTACAATCATAACTAGCTCAACCGACTTTTAACTGATTTGAGATTGATGGGAAATAGATATGAACCAGTTGTTGCATAGCCTTATTTGAAGGCTCTCCACGGATTTGAGGCGGATAGCCAAAAGCGCTTCCTATAAGATGGGAAGATTGCCCAATTAGGCGCATATGCATGTCAAGATTTTCTAATGTACATGTCAAACAATATAAAATTGTTTTGCCAAGAATTCACTTTAAAAGAAAAAATTCTACTTGTACATAATTCAGTTCGAATCGTTATAATTTATGGTGGACACTATGATAACTAACAAACAAAAATTAAGAATTATCAAAATCGTTTCCACCCGTGGAAGAATCACAACAACATCACTAAGCTTTGCTCAGAAGGTTACAACAAATAAATGAGAATTAAAATTTGTAAGGATATGAGTAACCAACTATAAACAATCACAAAAACTCTATGGGTTCGTTACCTGATCAATGAAAACACCTGACCAATGAGAACCCTAGTGGTACTTGCTTAGAAGCCAAAATTGCACACCTGAACAAACTCCATATCATTATCCACATATTTAGTCCAGAGATTCTTATACTGATTCAGAGCAATATCAAGCCAAGGTTTCATGTTTCCATTGTAATGAATGACAGCAGCTTTGTTGATATCATCCATGCTAACACTTGGATTGTACCCAAGTCCAAGCACATGCCAGGATTTGTCCAATGACTTGGTTGACGAGTAGAAAGTGATGAGGCCCGGTGGAAGGGTGCCCAGTTTCCACATAGTACGATCTTCATTCTGATTAAAAAAAAAAAAAAAAAAAAAAAAATTCATGGATAATTTAAATTAATTGACACATCCCATCTCAAATCAACTTAAGAATTCTTAGTCCTAACATGACTAAAGTGTCATGCAATTTGTATATCTGTCTTGATTATGAGCGTGAATGAAATTTAATTAGGCTATTAGAAGGAAAAGAAAAGAATATTTTTGCTTTTAAAAGAACTCTGTAACAATAGCAAGTACAAAACTATAATTCAGTTAAAAGTAGAGGTGTACTTACCAAGTTCTGCCAGTAATGGTATTGCTCTGTGCATTTCTCACGCCTCCAAGCGTCTAGATCAAATATATTCATCCCATATGCCCAAGCACAAGCCTTGGGATTAAACCTCTCCCTGATCAGGGGGTGTGAAAAATTCAGATATTGAGCATAACGGCGAAATGAACCAAAGCAGGTCTCCACAGCTCCATTCACCTTCCCATCCAAATCGATGTTCCACAACCCAGTCAAGTCCTTCTGAACCACCACATCATCATCTAAAAACAAAATCTTATGTAATTTTGGATACATCTCGGGTAAATAAAACCTAAGATGATTCAACATTGACAAGTACTTGGGATTCCTAAATTTCATGTGATTCACATCTTTTGTCACATATTCTGCCCTATTCTCAAAGTAAAACTTCTGCATTCTAAGAGATTCAAGCTGCCTCAACACTGGCACATAAGAAGAATTCAAGAAGGTATAATCCTCAATTGCCTTCACCTCCACATGTGCACCACCTTCAACTGGCCTCATCTTGAACCAAACTTTCATCGCTGCAACATTCATTCTATCAGTAACCACATGAAAGACATGCCTCCATGGTTCTTGCGCATTCTTCACCACAGACCCCACCACCACTGACACCGCAATCACATTATCAGAAAATATAGCATAATGATACAAAGTGGGGTCCTCAAACTCTGGGCTAGGCTCCTCATCCTGATACTTTTCTGGGTGTGAAATCCTCTCCTCCACAAGTCTCATTGCCAAACAATGCAAACTCTTAGGTACCGATTTAGCAGAAATCAAGCTGGCAAGAGCCCCATTTTTCTTAGCCTTAACCAGCAATTCATTAACAGCAAAAATGGTATCTTTCAACTTCTGAATCTTCAACTGATTATCATAACTCTCTTTTGATTCACCAATCAATAACCTAGCAAATTTGACTTTGTCCTTGACTTCCTTCTCAAATTGCCTCAACACATCCTCATCAACAGCACCCTCAGGCTCGAAAAGAGAAGCCTTGTAAGTGGGTTTGACAGAAAGATCGGAAAAGTTTCGAGCGAGATCATCAAACATCTTTAATTGCCTAGAAATATCTAACTTTAACTTCCGGGCATACGCCGCATAAGCATTAACTAAAGCAATATGATCATTGGCTTGTTTGTGAATCAAATCTAACCTCGTTTTAAGTGGATCAGATTTCAATGCTAAAAACGTTCGTTGAACATATGCATTACCAACACTCGGAAGTGCCTATTCAAAAATTTCATTAAATTATTATTAAAAATCAGAAAAGAAAATACCAAAAGCAGTGAAAACAGTAAGTGAAGAGAACTCACTGAGTCGTGATGAGAAGTGGAGGGGTGAGTTGTGAGAATTACGGAGAGAGTAGCCAGGAAGAGAAGGGAGAACATGGCGGAGACAAAGATCCGGTAGGAGAAGAAGCCGCGTAAGCCCATACCAAGTCCACCGCCTCCTCCAACTCGGCCTCCTCGGATGGCCACCGCCATTGGGTTTCGGGATTTGATCGTTAACTTGCTGGAAATACTGAGATCTGAGAGTGTAACAGAATGATTCAAAGAGGAAAATCAGATTTACAGTAGCTTTGTCGATGTGCGGAGTCTATGGACTGAGATTGATTGCCAGATTTTTATATTCTTTCTGTACGAACTCATATTATTGAAAGAGAAATAAGAATGCGAGATAAATTAATATAGGAAAAGCTCACTTACCACCCTACCTTTATACGAAATTTTTAGAAGGCAACTATTGTTGTTTCAAACTACCCCCAATACTTTAAGGAAATGCACACACACACCCCCATTTCCCAACATTGTTAAAATTTTGTTAGATTTCGAGCCCAAATTGCCTATTTTACCCTCATATTGTAATTAAAATTACCAAAGTACTCTAATCTTAACCTTTACCTTAACCTTAACATCTCCACCCCTAATCCAAATCATACATTTAGGCGAAGACCACAATTGTAAAATCTCGACCCATTATCAAAATATTGTGAATTTTATCATCTACCCACCTATTAAATAGTGGGGTTAAGAGTGCATTCTTCTTGATTTGAATTCAGAACTTTTGATTTATTTTCAAGGATAAAGTCTTAGGTTCGAATCAAGAGAGACACGCTCTAAGCCCCACTATATAGAAGTGAATATGGTAAGTGATGTTATAGAGTTGTTATGACCTTGAATATGTGAGCTAATTTTTTTTTTTTAATACGTTAATTTTGCAAATATTTATCAATATTTTTGGAAGGTTTGTTGGGGTGGTATTGTTCGTGTTGATGGGTGGTGGGAGTAGGGGTATGATTGAGAAAAAGTAAAAGTTAAGGGTTTGACAAATTATGTGAGGTTTTGAGTCTTTTGTCTCAGTAAAAAAGTGTAATTGACGGTTTGTCCCTTCGAAACCTAACGGAACCGTAAGGGCGTTAGTATTTTTGGGGTGTGATTGAGTGATGCATTTCTTAAAAGTTATGGGGAAGTTTAATAAAAATGGTGAAAGTTGCACTCCAAGAACTTTTAATAAAACTGGGGAGGTAAGTGATTTTTTGCCTAAATATACAATTAACTAATTCAATTATATAAAAATAATTGGAAGATGGTATTATAAAAGCGAGGATGAATTTCCATTAAATTTTAAGAAAAATTAAAAATTAAAGAAATAACAAAAAAAATTAAAAATTAAAACTATCGCTTGGTAAACAATTAATTTAATAAAGATTTTTGAATATGTTATCCAAAAATTCTGATTTTTCGATTGTTAATAGGATTATAAAAATAGCTACCTGAGCCTCTATCTGTATATAATTTTAAGGCTATGAATGATTGATTAAGATACACGTGTAAACTTAGCTTTTATATATATATAAAATCCAAACTGAAATTCTAAAATGATCCAGAAGTATGTTTAAGAAAGCTTTTGACTTTGCCACCGCCTGGCTGCCCTTTATGTTCTTTCTTCCATGTTTTCTTTTCCCCAGTGATTGAGTTAGCACAGACTCTACAAAACTCTATACATCAATCAAACTTTTAAGGGAATTTTCTGGTTAATTGATCAGTATTCACACCATAACAATAACACCATGGAAAGTATTGCTAAAGATGACAAAGGAAATGAACTTGAGCCAGAAAAGGTTTGTTTTAATTATATGTTTTGTTTCCATGTGTTCAAATATCATGTATTTCAGAGTTGTAAAGACCAACTGTTTGTTGGCAGCATTCAAGAGAAAGCTCCTCAAATGGGTGCACGATTGTATATGTACTAGGTAATTATTAAAGTATGAGCATTAATTTAATGGCCTCTCGCTGTGCAAATTCTAAGTAAAACGGTATGAAATATATTTCCCAGGTGGACCAGGGAGTGGAAAGAGCACCCAATGCTCCAAAATTGTTAGACACTTCGGGTTTTGCCACCTGAGTGTAGGTGATCTTCTTCAAGCAGAAGTTGATTCTGGATCTGATAATGGGTACATATAAAAATAAATATATTTGTTGTTCTAATTAATCCCTTTCACATGTTTGAATTATTGGATGACCTTTTTGCTTCCCATATTACAGAAAAATGATTCAGGACTTGAAGAAGGAAGGAAAACTCGTCCCCTCTGATATCGTGGTTAAGGTTCTGGAGAAGGCAATGCAGGGAAGCAAAAACAACAAGTTTCTGATTGATGGCTTTCCTCGGAGTCAAGAAAATCTTGATGCAGCTCAACAAATTGTAGGCCTTCAATATTGCAATTACATAATTATATTTTTACATTTCTTATAACAAGTCATGACCATTTTTATTCGATCATTCTGCAGTTGAAAATCGATCCAGTATTTGTATTGTTTTTTGATTGTTCTGAAGAAGAGATGATAAAACGCCTTTTGAATAGAAACCAAGTGAGTAGTTGCACCATCTTTGTCAAACTATACAGTGTTTGTTTATATGTTATATATGCTCATTGTTTTCTTGGTATGCTTTTGAAGGGACGGGTCGATGATAACATTGAATCCATAAAGAAGAGACTTAAAGTTTATTTTGAATCAACACTACCCATAATAAACTATTACAGCTCAAAGGGAAAGATTCGGAAGGTAAAGTTTTGGCCACCAATTCTATGATTATTATAACAATTATATGGTGCCGTCCTTTTTTTAGCTCATAATGTTGCAATGCTTAACTTAGATCAATGCTGAGAGGCCTATTGAAGAGGTATTTGGTGCAGTGAAGGATGTGTTTTCTAAGCTAAAGGAAGCAAGTATGGAGAGTAAATCATCCACTAATTAATGGAGAGTAGTCATTTACTTAATTGAGCTACCTTATCTTGTAAGACTCAATTGATCTAAATAGCAATAGATTGTGATTCCCTATCTTTGTTAATCTTAATTATGTCTGGAACTAGATGACAGTATTTCTGGCACTTGGCGTTGCATGATTTGTTTTCTATATTATATATGATTAAACCATCAAAAGGGGCATCAACAGTTTCATAAACAAAGCAGTCTAAGAACTATGAATGACCCTCCCATATTGTTGATATATGGAAGAAGAGCAACCGATAGGAACCCATTTCCAGGCCTTTGATAGGAATTGGGTTTGACAGTGGTCCTTTTGTAGGTTTAGGTGGAACTCTTCTTGAAAAATCAGCCTCTTTACCCCTTGGGTGACTACGTGGATCCCCTTTCTCACGGGCCTCTATGCCGTTTCTTGGGATAGAAGCCCGGCTCCGAGGTCAGCCACGTAGGCACAGGATCATGCTTTGATACCATTTGATAGAAACCTACTCTCAAATTAGGCCTCCATGCCCTTTCTTAGGGTAGCAGTCTGGACCCGAGGTCAACCATGTAGGTGCATGATCATGCTTTGATACCATTTGATAGAAACCTGCTCTCAAATTAACAGAAATTGGGCTGGGTAGTGGGCCTTGAATAGAAATTGAACTGGACAGTGGTCCTTTTATGGGCTTGGATATAACTTTTCTTGAAAAACTAGCTTGTGAGTGGAGGGTGCCCAAGTTCTTTATAACCCACATGCGCACCCCTTTCCTTTCGAACGTGGGATTCTAACAGCAACAAAGAGTATGGTTCTTCAATAAGAAAAATTATATTATGTTATATATACAGGCAATGAGAAAGATCCAAGAAGTCTCTGTTATATGGCTTATGACCGAAACGAGGTTTTTTCTCCCCCACCTGTTACTCCACCAAAGTTCCAGGAACCAACCTGTAACTTTCATTGTAACCTCAGAGTCAATGCTAAAGTCTTCTGAGAAGAAAAGAACAAATCTTTCGAAAATTTCTACTAATCCTCACTGAAATTTCTTAGCTTGAATCAAGAACTTACTGGTATATATTTCTCATCTCTCCCAGATGACTATATATGTATACAAAACCCCAAGATTGTTTTCACTGCTCTACTACCTTAATTATATCAATTGATTTCAAGAATGAGATTTGGTAGAATCAGCTTCTCGTTTGTATCAGAGCCTGATTTAGAGGCATTCACACATAAAGAGTGCCTAAAAATCTACATCGATGAATTGGTCTTTACTTTATCTTGCATAATCACATTGCTAATCCTGCAGCTCCCTATGACTAATATCAATGGTAAGCCCGTACCAACTTTTATTTTTGCTGCTCAACCCTCTTCTTTCCATGCCTTTCTTATATGCATTATGGGGGCTTGTTATACTTCCGTTTGCTCAATTCATCTCCGAGGACGAAAGCCAAAAGTAGCAAGGTTATACAATGGTCTTGCTGTGGTTTCACTGGCGGCAAGTCTTCTAGTTCTGTTGGCGGCAGCTGTTTGCGCGGAACCCATCTCAAAGTTTGGAAGACTTTGCAATCCACATTTATTAAACAAAATTTAATAAAAAAGAAAAAAAAGAGGCTTTTATGCAATGATAGAACTCAATTTTCTATATATTAAAAAAAAAAAAATGAATATATAAAGCAAATGAGGTGGCAAAATGGAAGTTAGGTAGGAAGGAGGATCCTTAACGTTAGGTGAGCCAATAACCTTTGCCTTTGCATTTTCCTTTCCCTTTCCCTTTCCCACCTAATCTTTCTTCCCTAATACAATGGAAATACATGAATGAAGTTGTTCATCCTATAATTTGGAAAAAACCCTCTTGCCTAAAGCCTAAATGTGAAAAGGGAAGTATTTTGAATCTCAAAACTAAAGTTTCTAATAGTAGACTGACTTCTTTAAAATATTAGAAGTTCCATTTTCTGGTTAGACTTCCATTCAGATTATGGCTTCTTATCTTTGAACAAGTTCAAACACTGTTCTCCCTAGACTATTAGATTTCAGAACGTTCCTACAAGAACACTTGGTTGGAAGTATAACCAGTGATCAAACTAAAGACCATGCCAAGCATAAAAAGGATATATGTTACCACCATTAATAAATGGATAAAGAGAATGCGAGATAGAAATTTCCTTGTGCTAAGATTTTAGGCACCATGTCAATGCACATCATAACTAGCTCAACCGACTTTTAACTGATTTGAGATTGATGGGAAATAGTATGAACCAGTTGTGCATAGCCTTATTGAAGGCTCTCCACGGATTTGAGGCGGATAGTCCAAAAGCGTTCCTATAGAGTGGGAAGATTGCCCAATTAGGGAATATGCATGTCAAGATTTTCTAATGTACATGTCAAACAATATAAAATTGTTTGCCAAGAATTACTTTAAAAGAAAAAAATCTATTACATAATTCAGTTGAATCGTTATAATTTATGGTGGACACTATGATAACTACAAACAAAAAAAATTAAGAATTATCAAAATCGTTTCCACCCGTGGAAGAATCACAACAACCTCACTAGCTTGCTCAGAAGGTTACAACAAATAAATGAGAATTAAAATTTGTAAGGATAGGGTAACCAACTATAAACATCACAAAAACTCTATGGGTTCGTTACTGATCAATGAAACACCGACCAATGAGAACCTAGTGGTACTTGCTTAGAAGCCAAAATTGCACACCTGAACAAACTCCATATCATTATCCACATATTTAGTCCAGAGATTCTTATACTGATTCAGAGCAATACAAGCCAAGGTTTCTGTTTCCATTGTATGAATGACAGCAGCTTTGTTGATATATCCATGCTAACACTGGATTGTACCCAAGTCCAAGCACATGCCAGGATGTCCAATGACTTGGTTGACGAGTAGAAAGTGATGAGGCCCGGTGGAAGGGTCCCAGTTTCCACATAGTACGATCTTCATTTGATAAAAAAAAAAAAAAAAAAAAAAATCATGGATAATTTAAATTAATTGACACATCCCATTCAAATCAACTTAAGAATTCAGTCCTAACATGACTAAAGTGTCATGCATGTATATCTGTCTTGTTATGAGCGTGAATGAAATTTAATTAGGCTATTAGAAGGAAAAGAAAGAATATTTTTCTTTTAAAAGAACTCTGTAACATAGCAAGTACAAAAAATATAATTCAGTTAAAAGTAGAGGTGTACTTACCAAGTTCTGCCAGTAATGGTATTGCTTGTGCATTTCTCACGCCTCCAAGCGTCTAGATCAAATATTCATCCCATATGCCCAAGCACAAGCCTGGGATTAAACCTCTCCCTGATCAGGGGGTGTGAAAAATTCAGATATTGAGCATAACGGCGAAATGAACCAAAGCAGGTCTCCACAGCTCCATCCTTCCCACCAAATCGATGTTCCACAACCCAGTCAAGTCCTTCTGAACCACCACATCATCATCCAAAAACAAAACTTATGTAATTTTGGATACATCTCGGGTAAATAAAACAGATGATTCAACATTGAAAGTACTTGGGATTCCTAATTCATGTGATTCACATCTTTTGTCCATATCTGCCCTATTCTCAAAGTAAAACTTCTGCCTTCTAAGAGATTCAAGCTGCTCAACACTGGCACATAAGAAGAATTCAAGAAGGTATAATCCTCAATTGCCCTCACTCCACATGTGCACCACCTTAACTGGCCTCATCTTGAACCAAACTTCATCGCTGCAACATTCATTCTATCAGTAACCACATGAAAGACATGCCTCCATGGTTCTTGCGCATTCTTCACCACAGACCTCACCACCACTGACACCGCAATCACATTATCAGAAAATATAGCATAATGATACAAAGTGGGGTCCCAAACTCTGGGCTAGGCTCCTCATCCTGATACTTTTCTGGGTGGGAAATCCTCTCCTCCACAAGTCTCATTGCCAAACATGCACAACTCTAGGACCGATTTAGCAGAAATCAAGCTGGCAAGAGCCCCATTTTTCTTAGCCTTAACCAGCAATTCATTAACAGCAAAAATGGTATCTTCAACTTCTGAATCTTCAACTGATTATCATAATCTCTTTTGATTCACCAATCAATAACCTAGCAAATTTGACTTTGTCCTTACTTCCTTCTCAAATTGCTCAACACATCCTCATCAACAGCACCCTCAGGCTCGAAAAGAGAAGCCTTGTAAGTGGGTTTGACAGAAAGATCGGAAAAGTTCGAGCGAGATCATCAAACATCTTAATTGCCTAGAAATATCTAACTTTAACTCCGGGCATCGACCGCATAAGCATACTAAGCAATTGATCATTGGCTTGTTTGTGAATCAAATCTAACCTCGTTTTAAGTGGATCAGATTTCAGTGCTAAAAACGTTCGTTGAACATATGATTACCAACACTCGGAAGTCTATTCAAAAATTTCATTAAATTATTATTAAAAATCAGAAAAGAAAATACAAAAGCAGTGAAACAGTAAGTGAAGAGAACTCACTGAGTCGTGATGAGAAGTGGAGGGTGAGTTGTGAGAATTACGGAGAGAGTAGCCAGGAAGAGAAGAGAGAACATGGCGGAGACAAAGATCCGGTAGGAGAAGAAGCCGCGTAAGCCCATACCAAGTCCACCGCCTCCTCCAATCGGCCCTCGGATGGCCACCGCCATTGGGTTTCGGGATTGATCGTTAACTTGCTGGAAATACTGAGATTGAGAGTGTAACAGAATGATTCAAAAGGAAAATCAGATTTAAGTAGCTTTGTCGATGTGGGAGTCTATGGACTGAGATTGATTGCCAGATTTTTATATTCTTTCTGTACGAACTCATTATTGAAAGAGAAATAAGAATGCGAGATAAATTAATATAGGAAAAGCTCACTTACCCCACCTTTATACGAAATTTTTAGAAGGCAACTATTGTGTTTCAAACTACCCCAATACTTTAAGGAAATGCACACGACACCCCCATTCCACACATGTTAAAATTTGTTAGATTTCGAGCCCAAATTGCCTATTTTAACTCATATTGTAATTAAAATTACAAAGTATCTAATCTTAACCTTTACCTTACCTTAACTATCTCCACCCCAATCCAAATCTACATTTAGGCGAAGACCACAATGTAAAATCTCCTATCAAATATGTGAATTTATCTATAACTATAAATAGGGGTTAGAGTGCATCTTCTGATTTGAATTCAAACTTTGATTTATTTTCAAGGATAAAGTCTTAGGTCGAATCAAGAGAGACACGCTCTAGCCCCACTATATAGAAGGTGAATATGGTAAGTGATGGTATACAGTTGTTAGACCTTGAATATGTGAGCTAATTTTTTTTTTTTAATAGTTAATTTTGCAAATATTTATCAATATTTTTGGAAGGTTGTTGTGGTAGTTCGTGTTGGGTGGTGGGTAGGGTGTGGAGTAGTAGGGTTTGACAAATTAGGAGGTTTGAGCTTTTGTCTCGTAAAAAAGTGTAATGAGGTTTGTCCCTTCGAAACAACAACCTAAGGCGTTAGTATTTTGGGGTGGTGTGAGTGAGTGATGCATTTCTTAAAAGTTTGGGGAATTTTAAAAATGGTGAAAGTTGCACTCAAAACTTTTAATAAAACTGGGGAGGTAAGTGATTTTTTCCTAAATATACAATAACTAATTCAATTATATAAAAATAATTGGAAGATGGGATATAAAAGCGAGGATGAATTTCCATTAAATTTTAAGAAAAATTAAAAATTAAAGAAATAACAAAAAAAATTAAAAATTAAAATTACCTCTTGGTGGGCGCTAATTTGATAAAAACTTTGGATGTTAAGCTTTTATCCAATACATAATTTCAATTAAAGGATTTATATATATATAAAATAAAATCCAAACTGAAATTCTAAAATGATCCAGAAGTATGTTAGAAAGCTTTTGACTTTGCCACCGCCTGGCTCCCCTTAGTTCTTTCTTCCAGTTTTCTTTTCCCAGTGATTGAGTTAGCACAGACTCTACAAAACTCTATACATCAATCAAACTTTTAAGGGAATTTTCTGGTAATTGATCCGTATTCACACCATAACAATAACACCATGGAAAGATTGCTAGATGACAAAGGAAATGAACTTGAGCCAGAAAAGGTGTTTAATTTATGTTTTGTTTCCATGTGTTCAAATACATGTATTTCAGAGTGTAAAGACCAACTGTGTTGGCAGCATTCAAGAGAAAGCTCCTCAAATGGGTGCACGATTGTATATGTACTAGGTAATTATTAAAGTATGAGCATTAATTAATGCCTCTCGCTTTTAATGAACTAGCACCAAGACTAAATTCCAAGTTATGCTAAATCTCAAGATTTGAAGTGGATTTGTATGGGAAAATATATACAAGATTTGATAACAAAACGATAGTGCAAATATATACCCTGAAATTGTCAAATGTTGAAACCATATAAAAGAATAAAGACTATTTACTTTGGGATTGAGATAAAAAATGAAATGACAAAACGATTATACTTCAGAAAGAATCAAATTCTCTTCCTTAAAAAAAAAGAACTACCAATTGAAAAAAGAAGGAATAATCAAACTTCTAAACAAGAAACAGAGATTATTCAGAAAGATGCAAAAGGATCTCCAGCTGAAATTACACTTAAAACGATCATATCAGGAAAATATATAATTTAATTGGTGGAATATTCATAAGAAATAAGGATCTAGATACAAGTACCAAAACTAAAGTGATGCTGAAAACAGATTCACCAATAAGATCAAAAGACAAGTGAAATATCTAATAAACAAAGAGCTAACACAGATCAGCAATTTCAAACGATAACCCAAAAACAATATATTACTTTCTTCAATCCCAGAAATCATAGAAAAACAATAGACCTATATAGACTTGGACATAGAAGAACAACTTAAAAGAAGTTGAAAGATTTCAAACCTGAAACTCGTAAACTTGTTTAACCCAAATTGTTGAGAAATTTGATGAAACTAAGATCTGGGAAATGGAGAGGACAGAGTGTAGATATATAATGAATGATCAAATGACAATGCGAAAAACAAGAAAAAGAAGAAGAGCTAGAAATGGTATTATAATAAAAGAAAAAAAATACCAACTTTTTTCAAGACGCCACCATACAAATACAATTCACAGAATCTCTCTCTTAAGCGGGTCAAATTTGGCAACTTCAATTATGGTTCGTTGCGGCCACCTCATCTGGGTTCTACGACGACATGCTGATGTGGCCAAATCACTTCACCTTCACCTTCTGCACCTGTTTTTTTTTTTTTTTTGGTTAAAGACAGATACACCCCCGAGATATGATCAAATAACAAATATCCTATGAGGTTTCTCAAATAAATAAAAAATCTCTGACGTAAATGAACTTTCAGTAAAACATTAAAATTTAAAATTTTATAAATATTATCAAATTACCCTTTTATCGATTATTTTAAGAGTTAATGACTTTTTCCCACCCAAATAATGGTTTAATAAAACTTTCTCACACATGGATTTTTAAAATACTACTTTACTACTCAAATTTATATTCCGACGACAAACAGAGAGCAAACTTGGTCTAATCTATTGGAACTTTTGAAGAGGGGAGGCCAACGAGTCTTTGGTGGTGGAAAGTTGGATTTTGATGATTAAGATTGATAGAAATTTGACTTAGGAGGGACGGATGCGCAAACCCTAACCGCTCAATTGCCGGTGATTGACAGGGTCAGCGAGAGTAAGGTTTGAGGGGTTTTGGTGAGTGATGATCGGGGAAGAGAATGATGGTAGTTTGATATGACAATGATGTCGAAATCGGAAATTGAATATAAATTTGGATAATAAAATTGTATTTTAAAAATCTATAAGTGAAAAAAATATTATTAAACCATTATTTGGGTGGGAAAAAGTCGTTTACTCTTATTTTAACAACTAAAACTTTAGTTTACTATTATTTTAACAACTAAAACTTAACAGCAAAGAAACTTTTGTTATTTTCCTAATTATAAAGGATTTTTATTAGTTTATCATTTCTGAGGAGATTAATGTCATTAACCCTTTATTTTTTTTATTAGATTTTTTCTTCTTCTCGCAAAACAGAAGTTGGCGTTTCTATGGAAAGTATGAATTATGGGTTGATATTTGGTAATTCTACATATTTTCGTTAATAATTCATGTTTATATGGTTAGATTTATAATTACATATTATATTAGATTTATTCTACACCATGTTAATAAAATCTTTATTATTATATTTTTATAATGGAAAAAGAAATGGTTGATTTTGATTTGATTTGTTTGGAAGATAGTTGATTAATATTTTCCATTAGACTTTTGATGTAAGATTTCCTTCGTTTTTTTTTTTTAATAAATAATTCATTGAATTCCTGGTCAAATTTTATTCTATGATTTTTTTAGGCTGGTCTAGCTCTAAGTTTGTCAATGTCTCTCTTTGAAATTGTAGGTAAGCCATCAAAATTTAATCTTTGACCTAACCCCATCTCAAAGTTTGGAAGACTTTGCAATCCAATTTATTAAAACAAAATTTAAATAAAAAAGAAAAAAAGAGGCTTTTATGCAATGATAAGAACTCAATTTTTATATATTAAAAAAAAAATAAAAATGAGATATAAAGCAAATGAGTGGCAAAAATGGCCAGAAATGGAAGTTTAGGTGAGGAAGGAGGATCCTTAATCGTTAGGTGAGCCACAATAACCTTTGCCTTTAGCATTTTCCCTTTCCCTTCCCTTTCACCTAATCTTTCTTCCCTAATACAAATGGAAATACATGAATGAAGTTGTTCATCCTATAATTTGGAAAAAACCCTCTTGCCTAAAGCCTAAAATGTGAAAAGGGAAGTATTTTGAATCTCAAAACTAAAGTTTCTAATAGTAGACTGACTTCTTTACAATATTAGAAGTTCCATTTTCTGGTTCAGACTTCCCATTCAGACATTGGCTTCTTCATCTTTGAACAAAGTTCAAACACTGTTCCCTAGACATATTAGATTTCAGAATCCGTTCCTACAAGAACACTTGGTGGAAGTATAACTCAGTGATCAAACTAAAGACCATGCCAATGCATAAAAAGGATATATGTTACCACATATAATAAATGGATAGAGAGATGCGAGATAGAAAATTTCCTTGTGCTAAGATTTTAAGGCACTATGTCAATGCTACAATCATAACTAGCTCAACCGACTTTTAACTGATTTGAGATTGATGGAAAATAGATATGAACCAGTGTGCTGCATAGCCTTATTTGAAGGCTCTCACGGATTTGAGGCGGATAGTCAAAAGCGCTTTATGAGATGGGAAGATTGCCCAATTAGGCAATATGCATGTCAAGATTTTCTAATGTACATGTCAAACAATATAAAATTGTTTTGCCAAGAATTAACTTTAAAAGAAAAAAATACTTGTACATAATTCAGTTTGAATCGTTATAATTTATGGTGGACACTATGTAACTAACAAACAAAAATTAAGAATTATCAAAATCGTTTCCACCCGTGGAAGAATCACAACAACATCACTAAGCTTTGCTCAGAAGGTTACAACAAATAAATGAGAATTAAAATTTGTAAGGATATGAGTAACCAACTATAAACAATCACAAAAACTCTATGGGTTCGTTACCTGATCAATGAAAACACTGACCAATGAGAACACCTAGTGGTACTTGCTTAGAAGCCAAAATTGCACACCTGAACAAACTCCATATCATTATCCACATATTTAGTCCAGAGATTCTTATACTGATTCAGAGCAATATCAAGCCAAGGTTTCATGTTTCCATTGTAATGAATGACAGCAGCTTTGTTGATATCATCCATGCTAACACTTGGATTGTACCCAAGTCCAAGCACATGCCAGGATTTGTCCAATGACTTGGTTGACGAGTAGAAAGTGATGAGGCCCGGTGGAAGGGTGCCCAGTTTCCACATAGTACGATCTTCATTCTGATAAAAAAAAAAAAAAAAAAAAAAATCATGGATAATTTAAATTAATTGACACATCCCATCTCAAATCAACTTAAGAATTCTTAGTCCTAACATGACTAAAGTGTCATGCAATTTGTATCTGTCTTGATTATGAGCGTGAATGAAATTTAATTAGGCTATTAGAAGCAAAAGAAAAGAAGATTTTTTCTTTTAAAAGAACTCTGTAACAATAGCAAGTACGAAACAAAACTATAATTCAGTTAAAAGTAGAGGTGTACTTACCAAGTTCTGCCAGTAATGGTATTGCTCTGTGCATTTCTCACGCCTCCAAGCGTCTAGATCAAATATATCATCCCATATGCCCAAGCACAAGCCTTGGGATTAAACCTCTCCCTGATCGGGGGTGTGAAAAATTCAGATATGAGCATAACGCGACATAACCAAAGCAGGTCTCCACAGCTCCATTCACCTTCCCATCCAAATCGATGTTCCACAACCCAGTCAAGTCCTTCTGAACCACCACATCATCATCTAAAAACAAAATCTTATGTAATTTTGGATACATCTCGGGTAAATAAAACCGAAGATGATTCAACATTGACAAGTACTTGGGATTCCTAAATTTCATGTGATTCACATCTTTTGTCACATATTCTGCCCTATTCTCAAAGTAAAACTTCTGCATTCTAAGAGATTCAAGCTGCCTCAACACTGGCACATAAGAAGAATTCAAGAAGGTATAATCCTCAATTGCCTTCACCTCCACATGTGCACCACCTTCAACTGGCCTCATCTTGAACCAAACTTTCATCGCTGCAACATTCATTCTATCAGTAACCACATGAAAGACATGCCTCCATGGTTCTTGCGCATTCTTCACCACAGACCCCACCACCACTGACACCGCAATCACATTATCAGAAAATATAGCATAATGATACAAAGTGGGGTCCTCAAACTCTGGGCTAGGCTCCTCATCCTGATACTTTTCTGGGTGTGAAATCCTCTCCTCCACAAGTCTCATTGCCAAACAATGCAAACTCTTAGGTACCGATTTAGCAGAAATCAAGCTGGCAAGAGCCCCATTTTTCTTAGCCTTAACCAGCAATTCATTAACAGCAAAAATGGTATCTTTCAACTTCTGAATCTTCAACTGATTATCATAACTCTCTTTTGATTCACCAATCAATAACCTAGCAAATTTGACTTTGTCCTTAACTTCCTTCTCAAATTGCCTCAACACATCCTCATCAACAGCACCCTCAGGCTCGAAAAGAGAAGCCTTGTAAGTGGGTTTGACAGAAAGATCGGAAAAGTTCCGAGCGAGATCATCAAACATCTTTAATTGCCTAGAAATATCTAACTTTAACTTCCGGGCATACGCCGCATAAGCATTGACTAAAGCAATATGATCATTGGCTTGTTTGTGAATCAAATCTAACCTCGTTTTAAGTGGATCAGATTTCAGTGCTAAAAACGTTCGTTGAACATATGCATTACCAACACTCGGAAGTCCCTATTCAAAAATTTCATTAAATTATTATTAAAAATCAGAAAAGAAAATACCAAAAGCAGTGAAAACAGTAAGTGAAGAGAACTCACTGAGTCGTGATGAGAAGTGGAGGGGTGAGTTGTGAGAATTACGGAGAGAGTAGCCAGGAAGAGAAGAGAGAACATGGCGGAGACAAAGATCCGGTAGGAGAAGAAGCCGCGTAAGCCCATACCAAGTCCACCGCCTCCTCCAACTCGGCCTCCTCGGATGGCCACCGCCATTGGGTTTCGGGATCTGATCGTTAACTTGCTGGAAATACTGAGATCTGAGAGTGTAACAGAATGATTCAAACAGGAAAATCAGATTTATAGTAGCTTTGTCGATGTGTGGAGTCTATGGACTGAGATTGATTGCCAGATTTTTATATTCTTTCTGTACGAACTCATATTATTGAAAGAGAAATAAGAATGCGAGATAAATTAATATAGGAAAAGCTCACTTACCACCCCACCTTTATACGAAATTTTTAGAAGGCAACTATCGTTGTTTCAAACTACCCCCGATACTTTAAGGAAATGCACACGCACACCCCCATTTCCCAACATTGTTAAAATTTTGTTAGATTTCGAGCCCAAATTGCCTATTTTACCCTCATATTGTAATTAAAATTACCAAAGTACTCTAATCTTAACCTTTACCTTTACCTTAACCTTACCATCTCCACCCCCAATCCATATCATACATTTAGGCGAAGACCACAATTGTAAAATCTCCTATTAAATAGTGGGGTTCAGAGTGCATTCTTCTTGATTTGAATTCAAAACTTTTGATTTATTTTCAAGGATGAAGTCTTAGGTTCGAATCAAGAGAGACACGCTCTAAGCCCCACTATATAGAGGTGAATATGGTAAGTGATGTTATACAGTTGTTACGACCTTGAATATGTGAGCTAAATTTTTTTTTTTTAATATGTTAATTTTGCAAATATTTATCAATATTTTTGGAAGATTTGTTAAGGTAGTATCGTTTGCGTGGATGGATGGTGGGAGTAGGGTTTGACAAATTAAGCGAGGTTTTGAGTCTTTTGTCTTGGTAAAAAAGTTTATTTGATGGTTTTGCCCTTCGAAACCTAACATAACCATAAGGGCATTAGTATTTTTGGGGTGTGAGTGAGTGATGCATTTCTTAAAAGTTCTGGGGACATTTGTAAAAATGGTGAAAGTTGCACTCCAATAACTTTTAATAAAACTGGGGAGGTAAGTGATTTTTCCCTAAATATACAATTAACTAGTTCAATTATATAAAAATAATTGGAAGATGGTATTATAAAAGCGAGGATGAATTTCCATTAAATTTTAAGAAAAATTAAAAATTAAAGAAATAACAAAAAAAAATTAAAAATTAAAACTATCGCTTGGTAAACAATTAATTTAATAAAGATTTTTGAATATGTTATCCAAAAATTCTGATTTTTCGATTGTTAATAGGATTATAAAAATAGCTACCTGAGCCTCTATCTGTATATAATTTTAAGGCTATGAATGATTGATTAAGATACACGTGTAAACTTAGCTTTTATATATATATAAAATCCAAACTGAAATTCTAAAATGATCCAGAAGTATGTTTCAGAAAGCTTTTGACTTTGCCACCGCCTGGCTGCCCTTTATGTTCTTTCTTCCATGTTTTCTTTTCCCCAGTGATTGAGTTAGCACAGACTCTACAAAACTCTATACATCAATCAAACTTTTAAGGGAATTTTCTGGTTAATTGATCAGTATTCACACCATAACAATAACACCATGGAAAGTATTGCTAAAGATGACAAAGGAAATGAACTTGAGCCAGAAAAGGTTTGTTTTAATTATATGTTTTGTTTCCATGTGTTCAAATATCATGTATTTCAGAGTTGTAAAGACCAACTGTTTGTTGGCAGCATTCAAGAGAAAGCTCCTCAAATGGGTGCACGATTGTATATGTACTAGGTAATTATTAAAGTATGAGCATTAATTTAATGGCCTCTCGCTGTGCAAATTCTAAGTAAAACGGTATGAAATATATTTCCCAGGTGGACCAGGGAGTGGAAAGAGCACCCAATGCTCCAAAATTGTTAGACACTTCGGGTTTTGCCACCTGAGTGTAGGTGATCTTCTTCAAGCAGAAGTTGATTCTGGATCTGATAATGGGTACATATAAAAATAAATATATTTGTTGTTCTAATTAATCCCTTTCACATGTTTGAATTATTGGATGACCTTTTTGCTTCCCATATTACAGAAAAATGATTCAGGACTTGAAGAAGGAAGGAAAACTCGTCCCCTCTGATATCGTGGTTAAGGTTCTGGAGAAGGCAATGCAGGGAAGCAAAAACAACAAGTTTCTGATTGATGGCTTTCCTCGGAGTCAAGAAAATCTTGATGCAGCTCAACAAATTGTAGGCCTTCAATATTGCAATTACATAATTATATTTTTACATTTCTTATAACAAGTCATGACCATTTTTATTCGATCATTCTGCAGTTGAAAATCGATCCAGTATTTGTATTGTTTTTTGATTGTTCTGAAGAAGAGATGATAAAACGCCTTTTGAATAGAAACCAAGTGAGTAGTTGCACCATCTTTGTCAAACTATACAGTGTTTGTTTATATGTTATATATGCTCATTGTTTTCTTGGTATGCTTTTGAAGGGACGGGTCGATGATAACATTGAATCCATAAAGAAGAGACTTAAAGTTTATTTTGAATCAACACTACCCATAATAAACTATTACAGCTCAAAGGGAAAGATTCGGAAGGTAAAGTTTTGGCCACCAATTCTATGATTATTATAACAATTATATGGTGCCGTCCTTTTTTTAGCTCATAATGTTGCAATGCTTAACTTAGATCAATGCTGAGAGGCCTATTGAAGAGGTATTTGGTGCAGTGAAGGATGTGTTTTCTAAGCTAAAGGAAGCAAGTATGGAGAGTAAATCATCCACTAATTAATGGAGAGTAGTCATTTACTTAATTGAGCTACCTTATCTTGTAAGACTCAATTGATCTAAATAGCAATAGATTGTGATTCCCCATCTTTGTTAATCTTAATTATGTCTGGAACTACATGACAGTATTTCTGGCACTCGGCGTTGCATGATTTGTTTTCTATATTATATATGATTAAACCATCAAAAGGGGCATCAACAATTTCATAAACAAAGCAGTCTAAGAACTATGAATGAGTGTTGATATATGGAAGAAGAGCAACTGATAGGAACCCATTTCCAGGCCTTTGATAGAAATTGGGTTTGACAGTGGTCCTTTTTCAGGTTTAGGTAGAACTCTCCTTAGAAAATCGGTCTTTTTACCCATTGGGTGACTACGTGGATCCCCTTTCCCACGGGCCTCCATGCCCTTTCTTGTAGTAGCAGCCCAGACTCGAGGTCAGCCATGTAGGCACAGGATCATGCTTTGATACCATTTGATAAGAACCCACTCTCAAATTGGGCCTCCATGCCCTTTCTTAGGATATCAGTCGGGACCCGAGGTCAGCCACGTAGACACAGGATTATGCTTTGATACCATTTGATAGGAACCCATTTGGGTAGAACTCTCCTTGGAAAATTGGCCTCTTTACCCCTTGGGTGACTACGTGGATCCCCTTTCCCACGGGCCTCCATGCCCTTTCTTGTAGTAGCAGCCCAGACTCGAGGTCAGCCATGTAGGCACAGGATCATGCTTTGATACCATTTGATAGGAACCCACTCTCAAATTGGGCCTCCATGCCCTTTCTTAGGATAGCAGTCCGGACCCGAGGTCAGTCACGTAGACACATGATTATGCTTTGATACCATTTGATAGGAACCCATTTGGATAGAGCTCTCCTTGGAAAATCAGCCTCTTTACCCCTTGGATGAATACGTGAATCCCTTTTCCCACGGGCCTCCATGGCTTTTCTTGGGGTAGCAGCTCGGACCCGAGGTTAGCCATGTAGGCACAGGATCATGCTTTGATACCATTTGATAAAAACCCACTCTCAAATTAGGCCTCCATGCCCTTTCTTGGGGTAGAAGTCTGGACTCGAAGTCAGCCACGTAGGCATAGGATCATGCTTTGATAGCATTTGATAGGAATCCACTCTCAAATTAATAGAAATTGGGCTGGGTAGTGGGCCTTGAATAGAAATTGAACTGTGTAATATTCCTTTTATGGGCTTGGATAGAACTCTTCTTAGAAAATCAATTTGAGAATAGAGGGTGCCCAAGTCCTTTATAACCCACATGTCCACCATTTTTCCTTCCAATGTGGGATCCTACCAGCAACAAAGAGTATGGTTCTTCAATAAGAAAAATTATATTGTGTTATATACAGGCAATGAGAAAGATCCAAGAAGTCTCTGTTATATGTCTTTTGACCGAAACGAGGTTTTTTCTCCCCCACTTGTTACTCCACCAAAGTTCCAGGAACCAACCTGTAACTTTCATTGTAACCTCAGAGTCAATAGTCTTCTGAGAAGAAAAGAACAAATCTTTCGAAAATTTCTACTAATCCTCACTGAAATTTCTTAGCTTGAATCAAGAACTTACTGGTATATATTTCTCATCTCTCCCAGATGACTATATATGTATACAAAACCCCAAGATTGTTTTCACTGCTCTACTACCTTAATTATATCAATTGATTTCAAGAATGAGATTTGGTAGAATCAGCTTCTCGCTTGTATCAGAGCCTGCTGATTTAGAGGCATTCACACATAAAGAGTGCCTAAAAATCTACATCGATGAATTGGTCTTTACTTTATCTTGCATAATCACAGTGCTAATCCTGCAGCTCCCTATGACTAATATCAATGGTAAGCCCGTACCAACTTTTATTTTTGCTGCGCAACCCTCTTCTTTCCATGCCTTTCTTATATGCATTATGGGGGCTTGTTATACTTCCATTTGCTCTATTCATCTCCGAGGACGAAAGCCAAAAGTAGCAAGGTTATACAATGGTCTTGCTGTGGTTTCACTGGCGGCAAGTCTTCTAGTTCTGTTGGCGGCAGCTGTTTGCGCGGGGTTGAAGTTCTGTCTTTCGCTTAATTCTGCTATGAGTGGTGCATAGATTTCACAGAATCCCCTCACATCGGATAAGGAGGGATTATTTGAATTGAATTTTGTAAGTTTGAAAATAAAATCAAAAGAAAAAAAAAAAGGTTATCAAAATAAGTGATAGCAGAAGGCATAAAAAGGCCATGAGTAGAACCCTCTGGCCAATTTGGGAAACTCCAAATCAGAGCTGCCATTCCCAGCATTCTGATGAACTGCTTTTTTTTTTTTTTTAAGTAAAATAAATCTGATTATGTCAGCTTGTGGTTAGTTTTCTTTTCTTCAAGAACAAAATACTGTCATCTATTCATTATTAAAGAGTTTTGAGTCTAATAACTCTTGTGTTATTCTAATGGGTATGCAGTTAGCTACACAATATTGTCAAAATTAAGGTTTAAACACAGTTAGTCTTATTGACAATTACATTCCTGCAATACATTTAACAATAAGAACTATGAGAACAGGAACAACATACAAACAGAACAATCTAACTTACTGAATACCAACAAAAGACCATATATAAAATGAAAGTAAGGTGCAAGGTTTATGGGGTAAACCTAATCACATTTTGATTTTGTTTCTCGTGTATATATTCCACACATGATCATCGCTGGTAATCAAATCAATCAACAATGCCTAACCCATTGGTAGTTTGAAACAGAAGTAATATGCTTTTTGGGCTTGCTCAAAAAGCAAAACTGAGAGCTATCAAAATATTTAATCGGGGCCAAATTTGAACTCAGCTATGCAGAGCCCGGCCATGCATAACATCATGCAGTATTTTCACATTGAACTAAATCACCTGCATTCAGAAGCATCCGTCAAACTAGATATTGACAATAATCTGGGTTAAACATGAATTCTTTCTCCCCTTTTCTGGAATGGAAGAAAATTGTAGTCATCAAGTGACCCGGAATCAAATACTCTGACTCAGGAATTTAATCAGGGTTCACACAAATGTAAAAATGGCCCCACATCAAGGATATTAAGGTTGTGTTATGGCAACCAATTAAGGTAGCTTTCAAAAAGCTAAAGGAACAGTACTTCTTGAGAGATTGAGGTGGATATGTAGCTTTAGCATTTTTATATGATATGTTTTTCTTTTCATGGAAATTCTTGCATCATGAATCAATCTTTTACGGTTTTACCTAATACCCACTCATTCTTCTTTCCGTTCTAGTACACCTGATGACTTTCGTTTTTCCACAGTTTTCCCATTCAGAAATTTGTTTTACTCATATGTCATTATCAACATCGCTGTAAATCATTTAAAATTAATCTTCAGGAAAACCACATTTTCATTTTACTATGATCATTAATGTGGACACTGCTGCCACAGGCAACAATTTTTTTTTTTGCATAGATCTCGTAGTCAGGATATGGGATATGCGTCGATATTGCAGAAACATGTTATTGCCATATTATTTATATCATCGATCATCTCATACAAGCTTTAAGAGGGGCGAGGAGGAGTAGTGCCGGTTAAAAATTCCTGACCAAAGAGAGGAACCAAAAGTAAAATATAAATAAAATAAAATAAAAAAGGAAGACAAAACTGGTACTATCGCCACCAATTCCATCTTAGTTTAGCAAATCTGTGTTGCACTGAATGTCTTCCAAATCTCTTAAGGTAGAGTAAGGGCTTTTAAGTTGCATGTCACTGAGCATTTGACGAAGTTCTATGGCTTCCTCTTTGAGCTGCGCGTTCTCTTGCAGGACCCGGTCATGGTTCTCTGACACATGGTTCAGTTTGTCTAGAAGCTGATGATTCTCGTTCCGGAGCCAAACAACCTGTGACCAGAGCTCGTCCAGGTGTTTCTGTTTGCGCATACGCGATCGTCGCGCAGATTCTCGATTCGATATCATCCTCCTCTGCTTTCTCTCGTTGATGAGACTGTGTTGTTGCTCATCGGCCTCGTCAGAAGTTGAGTTGTTGCTGAAAGAAGAACACTGGGGATTGAATTCTTGGGTCTGAGGAGGGATGTTCTGAAAATTTAGGAGCGGATTCAAGAATCTGTTGAACGGGCAAGTGGGTGTGTTGTCCTGATTAGGCATGGTGAAATGAGGTGAATATGGGGAGAGGTTTGAAGGAAGAAGATAATGGAGACCTGAAACATCACCAGGCTGCATGGCTTGAAACCTGAGGAAGATTAAGTTAAATTAAGGAGGATGAAAGAGGGATGAATTGATTCACTTGGTTTTAGAATTGGAGGAAGGAAGGATGAAGAAAGGAGCTGTTTATATAGGGAGAAAAAAGGTTAAGGAGGTCCCCACCCTGTTGGCAATTTATCATCACCTTCACTGCGCCTTTTATTATAGGTATATCATTAAATCATGTAATATTTGTTATGTAACATCATACTATATTTCATTTCCGCATCCAACTAAATAGATATTGTCCGCTTTAGACAATAGGTTAGCAAGTGATATTGTTTATTATGGGATCCGGCTAGCATGAGTTCCCTCTAAAATCCGGTTTCGGTTAACCAGTTTGGTGAAACCCATAAACCGAAAACTGAACCGAATATTTGGTTTATGAATTTTCCAAAATTGGAACCGAACTAGTTTGCAAAAAAACCCAATTTTCGATTCGGTTTTCTGGTTTGATTCTGTTTCCAAACTTTTTTTTCCCACCCTTACTACTAGACTCACGTAAGTTTAATTTTAAGCTTTATGAAATCATTTTTCACCTAAAACGTATCTACTTTATTAGGAGAATCCAAGTCTTATAATCTAAATCTCAGATTCATTCACTAAGTGAAGTTGATCATTCTTCAACATGATTAAATGACATAAACATATCTATATGAATCCATGTGATGAATGATGATACATACATATATATATGGGTCGCGGATAATCATTTTGAGATCAATATATGTATACGCTTACATGAGAGAGAAAAGGGATTTTGTATTGTGGGGAGAGCAATTATTTTAATGGGGGAAACGTTTTGGCAAGAGAAAGTAGAAGAAGAGAGAGTAAATGGTGTTAAGTTCATGAATTAAGTGGATGACTATATTGTTGCCAATTGCCAATCCAAGTTTATATTAAGATATATATAATGTGGGGTTTCACTCTCTCTTTAAGCCAATAGGACTTTGTGACGTAACGAATATTGGAAAAAGGAGGCAAGGAAAGGGAACCCCTTTACTATAATCATGGTCACAGTAAGCCAAATTATTTAAGGAGTTGGTGACTCAACACCCACTTCATTTCAATTTCATGCCCTTCATGTATCAACACTACTTAACCCTTTATCAGTTTTTATGTTACATTTACAAGAATTGTGACCTACTATGATTACGACGTAGCTAGAAAAATGGTATCGTCAATCCATCGCTTATTAAGACTCGTCGTTAAATGGCTTTTTCGATGCAACTTTTAAATGTAAACCAACAATAAAACACGTGTTGAACAAGACAGGATTATATATACTTATTCATGGCGAAAATCTACTAAAAGAGGATTTTAAGTGTCACTATAGAAGATATAGAAATAAAATAACCAAAAAGTCTATGGGATTTGTTACATTTAGAAGAATTGTGACCTATTTTGATTACAACGTCGAAAAATGGTATCGTCAATCCATCGGTTAAGACTCATCGTTAAATAGTTTTTCCGACGCAAACTAACATATATACTTGTGATATGGTCTCTTTTAAATGTAAACCAATAATAATACATGTGTTGAAATAGACAGGTATATTCGTGGCGAAAATCAAGTGAAAGAGGATTTAAGTATCACTAGACAAGATATGGAAATAAAATAACCAAAAAGTCTATGGGATTTGGCCAAACATACTCAAGTACTGTGAATCTTCATTACTATGTATAAAATTAATTAAATTAAGAAGCATTTTCATGCGCTAACTTCCATGGCATAAATCTACCTAAAAGCAATGTAATCTTTTGGTTCTCTTTGTTGAATTGGATTTGATATCAGAACACTAAAGACTAATAAAGAGAAGAAAAGTTTGCCTCATTTTAATGGTGACTTTTGGTGTGGTCCATTATATATTCGACCAGAATTCTACTCCCAACTTTATCATTTACATTTGTTTATCAGTAGGACAAATCAATGCTGATTTGAGCTGTTGGGTCCACACCTTTAAGATTAAGAAAAATGTTAGAAATCAATTTCCCTTAAACCCATTTAAACATAAAGTCGCATTCTCCTTTGAAAACGGTAGAATCAAACTCAAGACCTTTTGAATAATACATTCAAGAATTCATATTCGACTACTCGATCACCCAGAAGTGGCTCCTATCAATTTATTTTTCTCAAGGAAAACTAACCCTATTACAGAATCCAATTATAAAAAAGGTGAATTCACATTGGGGAGGTGGTGGTGGGGGAAGCTGATGGAAAGAAATTGGATGTACTTTGATTTGCAAACTTAATTCCACTACTTTTAAAAGAAAAAAAAAAAAGATTGGAAACACAAAACAAAAATTCTGTGGTGGCAAATGCCGTCCTCCTCCTCTCTTTCTGTCAATTGAATGGACTGATTGGTCAAAAAAAACATTAGACAGATTTAGACTCCTCTTATCTTTTCTTATCTCCCGGTGTTTCTTCTTTCTTATTGTTCTTTGGTCGATTTATTGTTCTTTGTCCATTGTACTTGTGGAATATTGTATCTATCATTTTCATTTTCTGATAAATATAATATATACTTTGCTGAAACTGACTCCACCCACTTCAATTTTATGCTTTTGCTTGTTCCTTGTTTGGCCCATAAGAGAAAAAAAAAAAAAAATTCAACACCTTCATTAGTAATTAAATTATTATGATCCATTTTTAAGTTTATAGCATTGGCAGTAGCTCCATTAATGTTGCCCACCAAAGAAAAAGGTATATCTACCAAGATCATATAATTCTTTGATAAATACTTTCATGATGAAAAAAAGATTATGTTGGTGTCAAAGTCTCACATTAGTTAGGAGACGATGGTCTTTGTCGTTTATATAGCACAAGGATACTCTCACCACTTAGAGACGTCTTTTCAGGACAAATCGTGCTAGTCTCAAGGCTCAAGGCGGACAAAACACTAGGAACTCATATACTATGTGTCTGGATTTGGCATACATCAACATCTTTTTTTGGATGACCTAGGATGCCCGAGCTAGTTTACGTATACCTCAACTAATCTCTCAAAACTCTAGAACTACTGGTCGAGTACGAGCTCCAGTAACTACCCCTATTAGAATCCGAGGAGAATTCGAACTCAAAACCTCTTGAGTAATACGTTAAAAAGTCTATATCGAACCGCTCGATCACCATATATAGTTCATCAACATATTCATAAAACAAAAATATAATAATTTGCCTTTTGATAGTCCATGAAACACTTGGCCACAAGTAAAATGTGGAAACAATGATTTTTCTCCTCACTAAACTTGCGTATCTTATCTAACTTACAGAATCCTTCCCCATATGTGAGAATTATGTCGAAAAAGCCCATGATACTTGGGGAAAAAGCGAGAAGGTGTAGGGCACTTTAGTAAAAAAGAAAGTGGAAACAAAACACAACCCTAAAATAACGGTCAGGGCGATGCACGGAAGGGTACTTGATTTAACTGCAAATAAAAAAAAAAATCTTATAATACATGATTAAAATAAAAAAAAAAAAACAAACTTGTGGGGTAGCGGGTACCCTACAACAAAGGCAAAGCTAGCGTGGGCGTGGTTTGCCTAATCACCAATTTCTACCCTTATTGGCCACCTTGTCAATTCATGTTTAAAACACACCCTTTCTCTCATTTATTTTATGTTTTTGGGACTCTTTCATTATTTGGGGTATTGTCATGTGTACCCAACTGTGCACCCCACTTCAGTAACCTTCCCACATTTCTTCTTTATTTAATGCTTCCTCACGTATTTTATATATATGTATATATATATATATATATATAAAACTGAGGTATCCGAACCAGTTTGTATACACTTCAATTAATCTTTAGTGTTCATTGAACACCCTACAAGCCTAAAAGATTGGATAAACTGTAATATTATTGTGGTAGGTGGTCTTCCGGTTTGAACCTAAAAACTCAAGAAAAGGAGCAAACCTCATTGACTGCTAGACCAACCCCTTAGGGTTTAGGTATATATCTAACAAATTTTCAAAAATTAAAGTATAATTTGACGATGAAAACATGTCTTCTAAATGTAAAATAATTAAACAAGAATTCTAACTTCACTCTGATGAATCAATGTGAATAGAATTTAGTTATAATCAACAATATCCCAAAGGATCAACACATAGATTATAGAATATTGGATTAATAGTAAAGAGTTATAGACAAACCTATTTGTACCATGATTTTTTATTTTTTAATTCCTTACAACAGAAGCAGCAGATTTTCCAAGTGACAAAAAGCGTAAGTCTTCATTTCCAATAACGCACACTAAATGATGACTTCCAAATGGGTTTTAATTATCTGATACGTGCCCTCCCAATAAACCCCGAATCCCACATTTTATCATCAATCTAGATTAATCAAATGAAGTGTAATGGACAAAACTTTAATATGATCACTTTAAACCCATCAATATATCAGTGGACTATACATTTATTTGGTTTAAATTAAAGCAATATATAATCAATGTTAGCCCACAATTAGGAAATTTTTCATGACACTAAATTCATCGAGTTCCTCCAAAGAATCAAAACCACTTATGATTGAGATAACAAACATTTATCTCGTTCAAGTATTCTGAATACCTTAACAGGAACATTTCAACAGTTCTTGACTATATCAAGATAATTGACACATTTATTTGTGGCCATGACGAGTAACAACGATCACCATATATAAATTCAAATCAAATATTGGATACCTCATCCCACTAACACTAGGAAGGTCATATATATTTTTTAGTAATAAAGTAACGGTAGAAGAGGGTGTTGAAATCCAGAGAGATTGGTGGATAACGGATAAGCTTTACTTAAATAAAGAGATTGAGTGGTGCAATGAAATAAAATAAAGAGATTGACAATAACTTGCACGCATAGATTCATGTTGCTTACATACTTGTAACATAGTCTTCATCCACTAACATTAGTTGTGGATAATAAAGTTAGTTTAGTTATTTTAAGCAAATGCCTTTTTATTGTTTGTTGTCGTAATGTTACTCATCCTTCCTCAATTTTTTTTAATGATCGGGGTGTCTGGACTAGCTTGTGCATACCTCAATTAATCACCAAGACTAATTA